TCTTTCTTTAAAGATTTAAAATTTTCATTGTAGAGCTCTTCATTGATCTTTGGGCAGGTTTCCTCTGAGATATTTTATTTTTATTTTTTGTAGCTATTGTGAAAGGGAGTGTTTCCATGTGCACTTTCTCTGATTGCTTGTTATTGGTGTATAGAAAGGCTACAGACTTTTGTAGGTTAATTTTTTAACCTGCCACTTTAATGAACCTGTTAATAATTTCTAGGAATTTTCTGGTGGAATTTTTGGCATCTCTTAGATATAATATCCTCTGCAAAAAGCGATAATTTAATCTCTTCTTTTCCAATTATTACTCCTTTAATTTCCTTCTCTTGTCTTATTAAGGAGGCTGGGAGAGTCAAGATGCAGTGGGCACCACAGGACTTACCCAGGAAAGATGCCAACATCTCCATCATATCTTAAGGAGAGAAAGGATGGACAGCTAACTAGCAATAAATACATGGAAAGAGTCACAGTGTGTTCCAGAGCAAATAACTGAAGACATGGCTAGGACTGAAAGTCAAAATATTCCTTCCAAATGTTTTCATCACAGTTGACAGAAATACATTTTAAAACTACAGAGGGTGATAGATAATGGCTAGTTGAACCATCTCTGCATCTTTAGAATCTTGATCATGGTGAATGATCTTTTTGATGTATTTCTGTATGTGGTTTGCAAGTATTTTGTTGAAAATTTTTGCATCTATGTTCATTAAGGATATGGGTCTATAGTTTTCTTTTTTGGTTGTATCTATACCTGGCTTTGGTATTAGAGTGATGCTGGCTTCAAAGAAGGAATTTCAAAGTTCTCCTTCCATTTCTATCTTTCTGAATAAATTAAATAGTATTGGATGTAAATCGTCTTTAAATGTGTGATAGAATTCTGCTGTAAATCTATCTGGTCCTGGAAATTTTTTTATTTGAGAGGTTTTGTATTACTGTTTCATTTTTTGGTGTGTTATGTGTCTAAGCTGTTAATCTCTTCTTGGTTTAGTTTTGGTGGTTCCCATGGCTTAAGATATCTGTCCATTTCTTTTAGTTTTTCAAATTTAGTAGCATATAGGTTTTTAAAATATTCCGTTATAATGTTCTGTATCTTTCTGGTGTCTGTTATGATATTTCCCTTTCACCTCTGATTTTGTTGATTTGGAGGTGCTCTGTCTTTCTTTTGGTTAATTGGGCTAGCAATCTGTCAATCTTGTTTATCTAGAT